TGCAGTGAAGGTAACACTCTTTTTGTAGTTGACTCTGGTTCCAAAAATGTCAGGATCATAACATCACTGTTAGCACTGGACAAATAGTTGACAACACTAAACAAACTCTACACGTCATTGTCTGTGCATTGTGAAATTTTGGGGAGTGGTCATAGTGACGACATCAAACAATCTATCACTGAACTTAAAGATATTGAAACGTTTTTAGGACAATGTTCGGCAGAAGCCAAAAACTTGCTTAGTCTTAAAATGAATTGCTTCGGATTTCTTGAGAAGAGTTGATATTAATTTAGTTCTTACTTTTGGTAAATGAACAATTACATAGCATGTTGACCCTTCCGGAGCACCTGAGCTCACCCCAAGTTTTTGGTGGGGTTTGTGTTGTTCAGTGTTTAGTTTTCTTTGTTATGTTTTGTGTACTATTGTTTGTTTGTTTGTTGTTCTTTTTCTTTTTTTAGCCATGGCGTTGTCAGTTTATTTTGACTTATGAGTTTTGATGTCCCATTGGTATCTTTCGCCTCTCTTTATGAGACTACGGTCAGAGACTTTGTCAGTTCTTGACTGCGCTAGGGATTTCGTTAGAGGTATCATTGAATGTATTAAGAAAGTTTCACTCCGTGGGTTCCACTATTTTACGTCAAAAAAAAATCCGGATATGAGGTACCATTGAAATGTCTATCTATTGAACAATTTGCACAGTTTAAACGTGAAAAACCTCCTGCTTTTACAACAGAAAATATGAACATTATGTTCAAGTTTAGATAGAAATATTGGAAAGGCGTTCGACAGCGTAGTGTTTGGTCAGACACTACAAAATTCAATGCTGGTACTCTCCCAATGAACATGTACCAAAACAACATTCCACCAAAATGTCTAATCGAGTTGCTTGTTTCTAATGTTCATGAGGTACCAACTAGAGAGGTAGTACCTACGAGACCAACACACTAAGAACGACAGTCGAATGGTGACCAGGTTGGAGACGTTGTTTATGAAGAAAATGATATGTTGGCGCTCATGATAGATAATATTATTTACTTTGTGTATAGGAAAAGTCACAGCTCGTTTTGCTAAGTTATGTTGTATAAAGAAGAAAGCGTGCTAAATTTTCACATAGACACAGTGAGAGACATACCAGTTGACACCGTGTTAGGAGTAGTTGCACCACCTTTGTTTTTTTCTTGGTTATTACACTTAAGACGAAAACATTTATAACAAACTTACAAATTCAATGCAAACAGACAGCTTAACAGTCAGTGAAAAGATTATTGGGGTTTTTGAAGCAGAAACAACACTTCTATCTTGTGAAAGGACAAGCCGGGGACAGGCCATTAAAAAAACCAAGACATTTGATCGATTTCTATTTAAATGAACGTCCTATACGTACGTTTTTCATGTTTCAGGGCGGGAGACAAGAGAATGGGGGCAGAAGAAAGGAGAAAGGGGCGGGAGAAATAAGAAAGGTACCCCTTGACCGCCCCCTCATCGAGATGACTCCTAGAAATGCCGATGGTCAATAAGCTGATTTAAACATAAATAGACAGACAAGCACGTGCAATCGCACAATGATTTTTGTTAATTGAATCAGTCAACGAAACTTTTTTTTGTAGTGCTTTATTTCACATTTCAATATTTAAATTCTTCTTTTTTTAAATAACAGAACACGCTTAGCACATGCGTAGCCCATGTCCAGATGAAGATCAAATTGAATTTGCATGAATACAGATTAAAATGAGTTTTGATTTTTGACTTGCAAGCCATAACAAGAGCGACGTTTGTTTAGCTTTATTTGACCAAATTGACCAAACTGACTGCTAATAGCGAAATAAAATATTTACAATAATCTGCTATGATAAAATTATAGTTTACGTTTTTATAAAAACGTAGCTAATGCATCTTTTTAATCATAACCCTGGTATCGAAGAATAGTTTCTTTTATTAAAGATGTGGTAATCAATCAAGAATACGTATTTGTGTTAGGCAACATATGCAATAGATATAGATAAAAAGGTCCAGCATTCGGAAAGCAAGCCCTTAGAAACGACCGTTGTTGCTACTTTCTTAAGACAACTATTGGACTGATATTAAAGCCCGCCATTCTGAAATTGCGTTAATTTCGCCGAAAAGTTTAATTGGCGGCAATTTGGAACATTTTCTATTTTCTGTTTTTTCTTACTTGGCATTGGAGTCAGAAATTGATGTTTTTCTATCTTTAAAGCATTTTGATAAGATTATTAAAGAAAATAATACCCAAATTGTCCGTCCTTTAACAAATATGCTAAAAAATTATGCGAAATTGTCTGGTTTTTTTTCTTCTTATTAAGAAGATAAACTTAGATTGTATACAATTACAAAAAAAAATAATACGGATACCAAAGTTAAAAAAATATTTCAAGTCTTACGTTCCCCCCCCCCCCCCCCCCCAGCCCCCCCCCCCCACCCCCCCCCCCCCCCTTTTCCCCCTTATGAAACCCTGTTTGAACTAAATTCCGAAAGAAAGAAATTTTTGACATTGTCGTTATTTTGGTCTTACACATCGATGTCAACATGCATGTGAACAGAATGTACACACATTTAAAAGTGTGTTTGTTTGAAAAAGTAATGGCGAGTCCAGCTGTGAATTTGATTGGATTAATTATTCTCTTTAAGTGCAATGTTTGACGCCAACTAAAATAATAAGGTAAGGAAATTTTATATTGTCTGTTCAAAACCATGAATTTAAGATGACTAGAAAAAAATCATTCATTGTTGATATTATTTTTTTGTGAAGGAATCCTGCAAAAGTAAAGTTGCAAATATTACATGTACAATGGAAACATAAGATTCGTGTCCTTTGATTTTAAAACAATCTCTTTCAGACTTGCATATTAATCACTCTTATTCAAAGCATTCTCACAATTAAATGAAGTGTGACTTACTTCTGTTTTAAGGCGGCTCGGGTGTCTTCCTCCATCTTGGATTCTGAAGTAGCAGATAACGTTGGTCTAGATCTTTGATTAAATGTGCAAATTTTGAGAGTAGTATGCAATATATGTGTAAGACTTTTGATATAATTATAGAAAATTGTATGTTCTATCATAATTATTGCTGTAATTTCTCAAAAACACCTTATTTGTGTTTGATTAATTTTTTTCAATTTTGCCAAATAAGGGGAGATAACTCAGATAAAGTCATTGTTATAATAGAAAGTGTTGTGAATTTACCTATTTTAATCTGTAGCAAGTAAACAAGTTCGGTGACCCCATTTTTTCTTTTTCTTATCTGAAAGCATGTTATAAGAGCTATCTTCTCATATTATATCTTAAAATTCTATCAGGTTGTTTTCTTTTTATCACACAAAATTTGATTTTCCATGCATTATCTATACAAAATCTGACAATTGTGCAATACCTGTAGCATGAAAAAAAGTCCAGTGACCCATACTTTTTATTATATTCTTGAAAAAAGCATGATAAATACTTCATTTTGACAAATTATTAAAAAATTCTATCAATTTTAATTAACCATTTAAATGATTATTCATTGGTTTAGGCGTTGTTTTTTTTTGACAATTTGAGTCTATTCAGTTGAACCTGTATGGAATCAATAAAACAAAATTTATTGTTATATTTAGTTTAATTATACACAGATTGCAAACCAATTTCCTTTCATTTCAAATTATAAAGAAGTTACATTGAGAATACTTTGATTATTAATTTTTTTAAATGTATATGAAAAAGTTAGGATCATGTATCAGTATTGCAAGGGAACTCAACATAATAACCCTGTCTAGATCCAGTATGTATGCATATTTTGGCTAGCCCTGGCCTTTATGAAGTAGAAATTTGTTTCTGTGTTGATATTATTTGGTTACCATGGTTACAGCAGCAAAATTATTAACCAAAATACTAAAGTAACTCTTGGAATAATATATTATGGCCCAGAGTAACATTTACTGTAATATTAAAGCCCTATATTTCAGTTCTGAAACTGTTTTAAAAACGATAGAATATGTTTACCTAATTGTTTTACATATGTCTGTAGAATAAAAATATATTTAGTAAAAAGATAATTAATTATTTTAATAATGTTCACTTGTAAATAACAGAATATGATGCTTAATATATATAATAGTACATCAGAAATTTCGACACATCGAAGTGGCACATTTGCGTATTAGAGCGTATTAAGTGGCACAAATCTGACACATGCAAGCTCATAAAAGTCTCATATCTTAAATTCAGCATAGGTTCCCCAGACGTTAAGAAAGAAATTTCAACTTATGTGTTGAAAATAAATGGACGCGACGAATGACGACCTGGGGTTTAAAGGCTTCGTATTCTAATTCAGTACGCTAAATCAAAACGATGCGTATGTTAGAACTTCTAGAAAGTATACGCAGTTGACATTTATAACGTACAGCATACTTTGATTTCATTCGATATTACTTTTTGGAGGAAACAGACTCGTTTCAGATGAACAAAAAATGACCAAAACCAAAAATGCCCAAATATGGTAGTCACATGACTTCCTTTGTTGTCTTACGAAATCGGGTCAAACCGGGGTCAGCTTTCCGGCTGATATACATGAAACAATGATTTCAATCTGTCAAGTAATTTAAACATAAAATATATAAAAAGTAATGCTTAGGAGCCAATCATTCATTTTTTTGTGGAAAACATCAATGTAAATTGATTGCTTCTACATTTCTTTTAAACTTATTTGTTTCGGATTTGAAGTGAAAACAAATTGTTTTGTTTTTTTTTATTTAAACATGAAATTATGGAAATAAAGTAATTTAATATAACTTTTCCTATTAAAAAAAATAACTTATTCCTGTATGTTATAGAAAAAATAGCTTGCTTTTTGGTTTAAGTCTACAGATTTTTTTTACTTCCCCTCACAAAAGAAGAAAGGTATGGACATAAAGGTGTATCAGAAAATCAACTCTGGGCAACAATGCACAGAAGGAGTGATAGATGAAAATAGTATACGTACAAACATTAAAAAAAAATCAATTGACATCAAGATTAATTTGAGTATCTATTATAACTAGTGATAAGAGTGGAAATTTATCATGAATAAATAGATATACAGTTTTTCCTATAGTGTAACATCCTAATGTCTTAAATTCCACTGTGTGGCATCTATCAATGTCTGAAAACCATGATGGTATATCCATTCAGTTTGAAGTAAAAATAATATCTCAGATCATAGGTAATAGAAAAGCCAAATGATGTTCCAACAATGCAGTGGTATCTCCCGCCGTAAGTGTCATCAAGTTCGTCTTTAATGTGATCCGCTATGTCCTTCACGCTGGAATATTCTGCAAAAGCCTCCCGGGTAAATTGTAATGTTCGCCTTTGCATGGCCTTAGACATGTCAACTGCTTTGATTTCTACAATATATGACATTGTTATTTTATTTTAGTTGCAAAAAACTAAACGAAAATGCCAAATAGGGGGAAGTTCAAGATAGACATGAAATTATTTCACATAAAATTCAAATATATTCTAACAAGCTGTTTTAACTTCATAGAAATACTATATTCAGACTGATTTTACATGACAAAGCCTAGTTAATGATTAAACTGTTTTAGTAGCTGTTTAAAAAAATGTTGTCCTGGATAGTAATGAGCTAAATACTGTGTAAAAACATACCTACATCTCTTGATTTTGATCTTGAATTTCGAAGGATTTCTGTAACATAAAGCAGCATATGTGTCATTGATTGTTAGATATATAATTGCATTTTTGCAAATTTATAGATTGAATACACAAAAAAATACCAAACAAAGTAATATGTAAAGCAAAGGGAAAACAATAAAAGAAAAAATACATGATTAGTTCCTGGTAAAGCAAAATAAGTGATGAGTGTTCACTGAATTTAGTGGATGACTTTGTCAAAAATAATGGAACTATAGACACCTGTCATCCCAGTCATAAAACCAGGTTTAACCAATCATTTTCTTCGGAAAATGCATGTACCATGTCAGGAAAGTGACACTTGTTTTCCATTTGTTCTGTTAGATGGCATTAAGTTTGATTTTTTTCTGTTTTATGGACTTCCTCTTGATTTTACTTGGAGTTTGTTATTTTTGTTACACTTTTTAAACTTCCGGTAGTTACAAAGTATTTAAACCACATGTGAATTAATAAAATTGTTTTCTGCAATAAAGTCTTGAACCAGAAAGATGAAAATGAAGCGCTTTCTATATTTATCTCCATCGGTAACGACCAAACCTATACATTGTAAGTATATCTAATAAGTGGTTACATTTCATGTGAGTTGAAAATATTCCTTTCGATCAAAACAATAATACCACGCATTCAGACGAAAGATAAACAAGTTGGCGGGAATTAATTGCACTAATACTACAGAAATTGGATAACAATGCCATTATTGTTGCTGAAACATTTTTTTTATAAACTATTGTATAAAAGGGTCATTGCACGCTATTAACGTTGAGGAAAATTATCCATCGCCATATATCAATTTACTGATATTCCTCAGGGTTAGTGCAATTATTTTATAATATCAAATCAGATATAACCTTTTTTAAATCTGAATTTTTTTAATTTATTTTTTATTTTACATGTTTAATGTTATTATCTCATAGATAGCCCTTTGAAGTGTAATTTACGCATATAATTCTAATTCCTTGCAATTTTCAAAACATACAAAGCATTCGAACGGGAATCATTCAAAGTTGGGGAAGAGCAGCGAATTTCCCAACTGAGAACACTCAAGCAAGTCGGAATTACCACCTTACAGAAAGAAGTAAAATAACAAAAATACCGAACTCTGAGGAAAATTCAAAACACAGAACGTACACTACAATGGCGCCATCTTAAGAGTGGCAACCACATGTTCAAAAGTTCAAATGACTAAAACACGAAAATTACTTTGATAAAAGTTTAAAATTGACTAACCAACATCAATTGTATCGGAAATTGCTTCAAATTTAAAAAAAGTCCTTGAATTCATATATATATAAATGGCAATTTTATAAAGTATAATTGCATATTACCTTTAAAGAGCTGACATTTTTGTTAATAAGGAAGAGCAAATGCTAGTTGTATGTGATTATGAAGACTACTTTGAACTAGATGGAAACGCTAAGTCTATTTTTTAACATACAAGTGTATTAGCAGGGTAGAAGCACATATCACCCTACATGGAACCTGCTTGGACACATTATTCCAAGTTCGGGCCGACCACTCAATGATCTTACCCCTAAATGTCGCTTGCTATAGAGGACAAATATCAATTTAAAAGTATTTTGTTTGAACTAGTCGGGTATTGAAGCCACACAAGTACGCTACATCGAGACTGGTCTTTTAATATGATCAACCATGGTAGTGGTTTTAAGGGGAAAAATATTATTTAAGAAAAAGTATTAAAGGAAAAAAATAATACCTATAACACATATCGTTTCATCATAATGAAACTGAAGCTAGAGGTAAAACTGGTAAGTAGATAGTTCATCTGAAAAACCTTTTATATCTAAATCAAAATCAAATCAAGATAACAATTATCATTTATTTACAAAATTCCTCTTTAAAAAAACGATCTTTTGTTCAAATAGGCCCTCTCATTTCAGAGAAAGGGTTCATTTTAAAAATTAACGGTTGACGAAGATAGAATCCGAAAAAAGTTACACAGTAATGGTTATATTAGAAATTGACATAATCGGACACGTTAACTAAGCAGGTACATAAGCTTACAAATTTATGATCAACGATTTGACTTAAATTTTTATATTTGATAAATAACATATCATATCATATACCCAATCACAAACAAGTTCAAAAGAAAAAAAAAACAATACATGGACTCGTTATAATGTATCAGCAGTTCGAGTGTATTTAGACTAGACGTAATCTAATCAACCAGTGGAGGAGGAGGTGGACAGGGTAGAGAGGGGCGGGAGAAAGAAGAGAAGGGTGGGAGAAAGGAGAGATGTGGCGGGAGAAGGAGAAAAGGGGTAGGAGAAAGGAGAAAAATGGGTAGAAAAGGGAGACAAAAATGTATATAAAAATAAAAAAAGTTAGCCGGAAAACAATTGTTTTATCAAATTAGTTAATAAAAAGCTTCACAAAAGTGCTAATTAATGTCATAGTAATATTAATGAAAACGACTTCATAAATACTCTGAGCGTCGCCACTAATTCATTACGGACCATTACGATTTAGAATCATGAAACTTGGTATAGGGTTTTGCAGTGTGAAGGTAAAACTCTTTTTGTAGTTGACTCTGGTTCCAAGAATATCAGGATCATAACATCACTGTCAGCACTGAACAAATATTTGACAACACTAAACAAACTCTACACGTCATTGTCTGTGCATTGCAAAATTCTGCGGAGTGGTCATAGTGACGACATCAAACAATCTATCACTGAACTTAAAGATATTGAAACGTTTTTAGGACAATGTTCAGCAGAAGCCAAATTCTTGCTTAGTCTTATGATAAATTGCTTACAAGGGTCCCATGGTATGCCATTAAAACGACAAAATCAATTCAGATGCTACGAGAAATGTTGCAGTCCCCATTGGAACAACTGTCTGGTATCGATTCGGATTTCTTGAGAAGAGTTGATATTAATTCAGTTCTTACTTTTGGTAAATGAACAATTACATAGCATGTTGACCCTTCCGGAGCATCTGAGATCACCCCAAGGTTTTGGTGGGGTTTGTGTTGTTCAGTGTTTAGTTTTCTATGTTGTGTTTCGTGTACTATTGTTTGTTTGTTTGTTGTTCTTTTTCTTTTTTAGCCATGGCGTTGTCAGTTTATTTTGACTTATGAGTTTGAATGTTCCTTTGGTATCTTTTGCCTCTCTTTATGAGACTACGGTCAGAGACTTTGTCAGTTCTTGACTGCGCTAGGTATTTCGTAAGAGGTATCATTGAATGTATTAAGAAAGTTTCACTCTATGGGTTCTACTTATTTACGTCAAAAAAATCTGGATATGAGGTACCATAGCAATATTTATCTTTTGAACCATTTCCACAGTTTAAACGTGAAAACCTCCTGTTTTAACAACAGAAAATATGAACATAATGTTCGAGTTTAGAAAGAAATATTTGAAAGGCGTTCGACAGCGTAGCGTTCGGTCAGACACTACAAAATTCAATGCTGGGACTCTCCCAATGAACATGTACCAAAACAACATTCCACCACAATGTTCTCCAATCGAGTTGCTTGTTTCTAATGTTCATGAGGTCCCAACTGGAGAGGTAGTACCTACGAGACAAACAAAATAAGAACGAGAGTCGAATGATGACCAGGTTGGAGACGTTGTTTATGAAGAAAATGATATGTTGGCGCTCATGATAGATAATTTTATTTACTTTGTGTATAGGAAAGGTCACAGCTTGTTTTGCTAAGTTATGTTGTATAAAGAAGAAAGCTTGCTAAATTTTCGCAAAGACACAGTGAGAGACATACCAGTTGACACCGTGTTTGGAGCAATTGCACCACCTTTGTTTTTTTCTTGGTTATTACACTTAAGACGAAAACATTTATAACAGACTTACAAATTCAATGCAAACAGACAGCTTAACAGTCAGTGAAAAAGTTATTAGGGCTTTTGAAGCAGAAGAAACAACACTTCTATCTTGTGAAAGGACAAGACGGGGACAAGCCATAAAAAAAACAAGAAATTTGATCAATTTCTGTTAAAATGAACGTCCTATACATAAGTTTTTCATGTTTCAGGGCGGGAGACAAGAGAATGAGGGCAGGAGAAAGGAGAAAGGGGCGGGAGAAAGGAGAATGGTTGTGTGGAAAAGGAGAGAAGGAGCTGGAGAAATGAGAAAGGTACCCCTTGACCGCCCCCTCATCGAGATGACTCCTAAGAGTGCCCATGGTCTATGACCTGATTTAAAAATAAATAGACAGACAAGCACGTGCAATCGTACAATGATATTTGTTGATTTGATCAGTCAACGAAACTTCTTTTTGTGGTGCTTTATTTCACATTTCAATATTGAAATTCTTCTTTTTTTAAGTAAATGAACACGCCTAGCACATGCGTAGACCATGTCCAGATGAAGATCAAATTGAATTTGCATGAATACAGATTAAAATGAGTTTTGATTGTTGACTTGCAAGCCATAACATGAGCGACGTTTGTTTAGCTTTATTTGACCAAATTGAACCAAACTGACTGTTAATAGCGAAATAAAATAATTACAATAATCTGCTATGATAGAATTATAGTTTACGTTTTTGTCAAATCGTAGCTAATGCATCTTCGTAATTATAACCCTGGTATCGAAGAATAGTTTCTTTTATCATTAAGTCCTTAGAAACGACCGTTGTTGCTACTTTCTTAAGACACTTATGGGACTGATATTAAAGCCCGCCATTCTGAAATTGCGTTAATTTCGCCGAAAAATTTAATTGGCGGCAATTTGGAACATTTTATATATTCTGTTTTTTCTAACTTGCCGTTGATTTTTTTCTGTTTAATGGACTTCCTCTTTTTAAATTTACTTGGAGTTCGGTATTTTGGTATAATTTTTATACAACAGGTAGTTAAACGACACATGTGAATCAATAAAAGAATTGCACCAGAATGATGAAAATAATAAATGTCTTGCGTTCGAAGCGCTTTCCAGATTGAACTCCATCGGTAACGACCAAACTTATGTATTCGAAACCAGGTATGTATGAATACCCAAAAAAACTCTAAATACTATACATGTCCACTAGGGACTGAGAAGGAAAAACCCAAATTTATCTTTTTTGACTATATTTTAACTGGACTTCCTTTATATGTTCTTGTATACCTAACAAATATAAACATTTCAGATGAGTTGAAAATATTGCTTTCGATCAAAACGATGTTTTTCACGCAGTCAGAAGAAAGATAATCAAGATGGCGGAATTAACCACATTGCGCTGACAGGAATTGGAAGAAAGACTATTTGTGTTGCTCAAATAATATTTACTATGTTATTAAAGGGTTATTGCACTCAGTACTATCCATCGCTATATATCAATTTGCTGATATTCCTCAAGTTTAGTGCATATTATTTTAGTATAAAATCTTGATCATGACGAGTTCTTTGAAAAACAACTCAAAGTATAGTACAAGGAAACCAGTCAATATACATAATAAGGTGGGTAAACATTCAAGGTTATGAAAGAACAGCAGATTTCCCAACTTATCACACTCAAGCAGGTCGGAATTGACCTTACAAATCGTGCACTACAATCGTGTCCTTGTAAAAGTAGTAATCAAAAGTTCAATCCAATTACTGTAATGACTAAAACACGATAAATACTTTCATAAAATTTAATTGGCTAATCGACATCAATTTTATCGGAGATTGCTTCAAATTTGAAAAAAAGTCCTTGAACTCGTATATTTAAATGGCAATTTTATAAAGTATAATTGCATTTTACATTTTTAAAAGGTGAAAATCTTTTCCGAAGTTTTGGATTTAATGTTATTAACTCATTGATAACCTTTGAAAGAGTAATTGACGATTATAATTGTAATCCTTTGCAATTTTCAAAACTTTTCGTGCATATGCTTTATATTCTTAATGAAAGCATCGTTCACTTTGGAATGATATATATATTTGTTCGATGAAGGAAGTTTCGATTTATGAATTAGGAGGAACAGTTGCAAGAACTGTAAAAGTGGGTGAAAGAGAAGTTACCAAGCGGACAATGGAAAATTTTTAAGACGAACAAAAATACACAACACAATCGAATGAGAAAAACTACAAAAAGGCAACCATCAGTACACAAATTAGAAAAAAAAACAATAAGGTCTTTCTTCACGTAGGGGAAGACCTCATAAACTATAAATGTATCTCAAGGATTGAGCAACACATATCTGAATAAAAACCGGAATGAGCTTATAATTTCTATATCATCAGGATGAGACCATATGAGTCTGGCTTATTGAAAGCCTGGTATCTTTACATGAATTTTTACTACCAGTATTCTTTGTAACAATTTTGTTAATTTGGAAATATGGCAGTTTTTATTTCGCTTGTTCTGTTTGAATTTGTAAGCTTTTGTTGACTTTACCATTTTTGAATTTACCTTAGAGTTCAGTATTTTTGTTATAATTTTTTTTATATATATAACTTTGATTTGGTATTGTAGAGTTAAGTTTTTATCTCTTTGGTGTTTCTTATTGTTAGTTCTTTTGTTTACTTTTTGTTATTTAATAGATCAACATTTTAAAGGACAGGTTTATTTCAGATTGTGACATTTTGACAGGGTGACGATTTCCATGTGATGTATTTACAGCAAGAGACGCTCACCCTGTCTCACTCCTTTATGAGTTCATATGGTTCGAGAGAAGATTTGCATGGCACGTGATGCATGCATAGCAAGAGACTATCACCCTGTCAGGCACCCGAATTTAATCTTTTTTTTAAGTTTATATATTTTCCCTTAGTCTTTTGTTGTTACCTTGACTTGTATCTTCTTAATGGATCTATGAAATTGAAAATCGGTCAAATACTGTTGCTTCTAAATAAACCCTCACAAATATGTGTAAACGCATAGCATTTTTATATGCGTGTTCATTTATTAATCATTTTAGTAATCATTTTGTGCATTTTTAAGAAGCAACCTAAAGTACTATAAAAGTTCAATTCATTTTTTTATCGTATCAATTACAATACGTCCTAAAGTACTATACATGATCAATGCATTTACTTTTAGCTTATCTATAACAATAGGTTAATTCGTACCCTTGGTGTCAAGTGGTGTTTTATCACTCTCATTGTCACCTTTTACATCTTTTGAAGGTTGGAAGGCTACTTAAAAAACAAATACATGAATAAGATTAGGAATATGATAAATATGGCAAGAACAAAGGCAATGTGTATAGGTTCAAAGCAGAAACTGTATGTCATGTGAAATGAAATATTGAAATATTGAACTTCCATTCATGGCCAACATATAAAGAAAGTCACTGTGAAATGGCTTAATTTCTTAATTAGCGTAACTGAAAAGAATCAAGATATACTTGAATCCTACTGCAAGAATTTGATTTTCCAATACTTATATTCGTCTACATTTGGATTACTGTTGTTATATCTGGAAACTGTAACAAATCTTAAATTGACAGGTTACTAAAATTGCAATCAAATGGCAGCTAAAAGTATTTTATACGAACATGATATTCGAAAACGATCTATTGAACTATTTAATGAATCTGGTATTATTACCAGGACTGAGAGAACACTATAAATCTAGTTGTGTCTACAATTAGTCAACAATCATACAAAACTCCACTTTCATAATCAGATAATTGTATTGTTCCTAAATCAAATACAAAATTATACAAATCAAGTTTTTATTTTAGTGGTCCAACAGTGTGCAATTCAATAACCGGCGAAATTTGAAAAAAAAAAAAAAAAACCTGTATTTGCATTCAAGTATTCTTACAAGTCATAGTTTTAACAATGTGTTATATTTGTAACTTTAACCACAATGTTTATAACATAGCTGTTTTATTTTTATTAAATATTTATGTATGTATTGGTAGCTTGAAAATGTTTTATTCGGCGTGCGATTTATATTGTATCTATTTGGCCTTATTTTGATCTATCTTCAGTTTTCCATGTTGTGTTTTATATACTGTTGTTTGTCATTTTAGTTTTTTCTGGTTTTACCATTGCGTTGTCGGTTTATTTTCGCCTCCCTTTTATTGGAAATTTGATTAATCCAAGTATGTGTTCTTTAGATAAAGATATTATCAATTGTTAGTTATTAGTATAATGAAAGGATGCTGCACAAAATCATCTATTTCCGTGAAAATCTGGAAATAAATTGAGCTTAAAAATTATACATCGTCCTGTATAACCTTGAAAATTAGGCTATAGGCGGGTTGGGGGTCCTCATTTTTGTATTTTTATGTCATTTTTCTCTTTTCATTGAAAAACATTCATTTTCTGTAAAATTTTCACTTAATATGAACATACTGTTATTTATGACTTGTGTATATCACATTCATTATTGGACAGTGATGGACTACTGTGCATTACTGTTGTTTGATTGATTAATTGATGTTCAACTCCTCTTTCAACACTATTGTGCAATTTCGTGGCGGTCAGTTTTTGTTGATGGAGGAATCCGTAGTGCCCTGAGAGAACCACTGACCTTCGGTAGGAAAACTGAAAATCATAGTCAATAAAGATTGGAGTCGAGTGCACTTGCCCCGTGTGGGATTCGAACTCACAACCTCAGTGTTGACAGGCTAGCAATACAGTAGTTCGAATAATTTGACCACTCGGCAACAGAGGCCCTTACTGTTGTCTGAGAAACTGTAGACACATGTATAGCTTCACAATCGCATACAGACCGAATAATGATCATTGGTGTACATCTTGTGTAATTCAAGGTATGTCGTAGCTAGCAAATAATTAGGTGTACTAGAAAATTTGGAACAGGCCAGACTTGGTCGCCAATATTGGCTATCCAGTTTATCTCCTTGTGTTGATTTTAAACGGTAAGGGTTTTGGAGCTCCAGAAGTTCTGAGGTACGTGATGCAAATCTTGCATTCTGATCATTTCATGGCACTCAAACGTATGCCAGGAAACCCAGTTTTGAACAAATATTATTGAAATTATAAATCATAAGCAAGTCGATTCATAAAAAAAGGGCCCCGTGTTGTTCAATCTTTAGGTTCTATGTAATGTTTTAATTTAAAGTATTAAGAAGTTTGTCTTTTTGTATAAAGTTTTGTTTTGTATTTATTCATGATCCATGGTGGTCACGTCTGTCTCCTAGCTGTCATGGTGACGGCTTGTCCCTTCGTTTGAAACTCTGTCAGTGTCACGTGGGTATCATCTGTCTCCTTTTTAACTCTTCACCTTCAATCGTTTTGTATTTTTTCAAAGTATTTAAACGATTTAATAGATAAAAAGCATTTTGAATTTTCATTTGTCAGAATTAAAAATTAAACTAAAAGTAAAACAAAAAGCAACTTACAGCTACATAATCCACAAAATACGACAACTAAAAAAGTAGTTCTAAATGTATTCATCCTCTACTCAATGGTGGAAGAATAACGTAAGATACTTTGTATGTTTGACCAATACAATATCGTACTCTACAACTAACCTTATATGTACACGCTTTGTTATAACATAAACTCCAATCAAATGGAAGAACGCCTATACGGAATAATCTTCCGTTCAAATGAAATCAGATTTGGCAATTTGATTGGTCGTTTTCAACTTATCTATGGTTAAAAGTTTATGTTTTAAATTACGAAAAAATTACACGTCTTTTTACGTAGTTTATTTTGTTCAATTTCTATTAATTTTTACTTTACTTTACATGACAAACAACACTACCTCTAATTCAGGTTCGCTGTCTTATCATGCAAGTAACAATTCTTTGAAAGCCGAGCAGGTATCTAAACATTTCGTAAAAGATAAAAAAACAAACAAATACTCCTATGAAAGTTGCTTCAATTTTAAAGAATTATACTTTATTGTCAAATAGATTACATATATTGCATAAAGGATTTATATAGTAAATTCTATCTTAACATCTAAATCTTTGATCGCACCCATGGTAGTATGTGTGAAGCATACAGCACGTCCAATAAATTATTGTCTCATTAGAAATGTCTGAACAAAGCTAGAAACAGTACATTTTCTAAATAACATTTTCTTGGTTTTGTAAATTAAATATAAATCATATTTGAAACTATATTTAAGTAGGCATAAATGGATTATTAGTAATTTAGAGTGTACAATTATGTAAGTGTTGAGTTTATGTAGACTAAGTACTATGATAAAATAAGGTCGTTTATAATTATCAATCATGGTTTTATACTTTGTATTTTGATTGATTCCTGTTGCTTTCGTGACAAACCTACCCTGGCTGACATTTCTCGGTAAGCATTGTTGTTTGTTGGGGGTTTGATTGGGGTTATCTACAAGTGAAACCAAGTCCATCAATTGAAGGAGTGGGAAGATTTTCTACTGAATTTAGAAACTTCAATTCTTCAGGTGCTAGTTCCCGAATGGGATTGGTCGGCTTAATAGGACACGTTTGGTAAAATATAACCTGGCATAAAAACGGCTTTTCAATCTTAGATACTTGGAAGGAGATATTACGGTCATTATTAAAGATTGAATTATCTTTTGACAATGAATGTTTATTTTACAGAGCATTATGATATGAGATTTCCATAAGTTACATGTACAACTGTCATTTCGTATGGCTTTGATTTTGTCTTTTTCATATTGTGTACATAATTTAAAATACTGAAAATGAATTCGATATCGAAAGCCCAAAACACATTTGATACAAATAAAATGGAAATTCCAGTGGCACAGTTTGTGCCTATATTAAGGTGAATCTATACATTCATAACACTTTAATTAACTATATTTCTGGCGTACCAAAAGTAATATTATATCCTTTTTCGATGTCCAACTGTAGTTTAACGTGCTTTTTGCATTAAAAATGGAAAACAATCGGAAGATAGCCATTTACCTTCAGTAAACAACATGTTATCCTGATGATGATGAGACTTTTTAACGACCTTGACTGGCTATACAGCCCTCGCACGGTCAGCCCAGGCTTGCGCCTTTTTGGGCATTTAAATAATTTGTTTTTACCATAGGGTAATTGAATAATTTGTGGTATGTTATCCTGATTTTATAATCGAATTTTTATAAACGAAGAGCAAAAACACGGAAGCATACATTTATTTGAGAAAAAACAAACAAACAATAGGACATTTACAAAATTACTTCTAACAATAAATACGCATAAAGATAATTAAATAAAAACGAAAGTGCATCATAAAAAGATCCCGAAATATAACAGTGTGTTTGTTTTTTTCTTTACGACTTGCTAGGCAAATAAAGGTCGAGTTTATAACACACATGTTTGAAAAAAACAGATAATTTTGCAATGTCGTTGGTTGGATTTCCATTGCTTAGAACGTTTTTCACCAATCCCAACACTTTGATTTTTGAAAATGTTTTCAAAAATGCACTAATTTCTGAAATGTCGAATTAAGGCTGTGTTTTTCAAGAATATTACTGACAGATTGGATTCATTAAGGCAGAATTTTTTTTCAAAAAATGTTTTGACAGATTGGATTCATTCTTTTCATTTCATGAAAATTATCGTCTTTAACAATGACACGGTTAAAAGATTTTTTGAAGATCTGCATCTATAACATAGCAACTAAATGTACAAATAAAGCCATGGCTGTTTTCAAGTCATGATCCGCAAGTTCATCAAAACTTTGTGTAAAAGGTTTATCAGTTGTCACTGGTGTATTCATTGATGTTTGACGGGTTGTTTTTATTACTCTTGTTGTTGTAGATTGCATTGTTGTCGTTGTTGTGGGCGTGGTAGTTGTAGTGGTGGGCGTAGTTGTTGTAGTTGTGGGCGTGGTTGTTGTAGTAATGGGCGTGGTAGTTGTAGTTGGTGGCGTCGTTGTGGTCGTACTTGTACTAGTTGAAGTTGTCGTCTTCGGAACAAGGCAAGTATAGCAACATTTCCCAGAACGGATCTGTTGACCATACTGGTTGCATTGATTTATGTCACAATTGAAAAGGGGGTCATCTCCAAATGGGCAAATATCTGAAATAGAATATGACCAAATTTTATATATTACTCTTGCTGTAACTAATAACCAACCCTTGGCATAAACATAAAAAAATATGGGACGTCATATCGGCATAATACATTGAAAACACAAAATATATATAATATAGTACCAACAACCAGTTTCACATTTTTCTCATACTTGTTTTCGGAATGATTAGAAATAGAAATTAAAATGATGCTCTATGTGAGTATTACGAAAATCAATTTATCGTCAGTGATGTTCGAAACTTAAGTGTTCAAAATACAAAAACATTAAAGATTAGCGTCTAATATTTAGAAAATTAAAGAATTATCAAAGATAGCTGGCTTATATCCTTCTAGAAAATCATTTAAAGCATAATAAGTACACATGCATATTCAGCGGTTAATTTCTTAAGCGCTACGAACACAAATTCGTTAAGAATAACTTTGATATATAAGAAGATGTGGTATGATTGCAAATGAGACAACTTTCTTCCAGAAACCAAATGACGAAGAACCCCAATAGCTGTGTACTTGTTTAACAAAACTTCAGAAAAGCGATGCATCCTTTGAAACTGTCACGACTATTAAATAATACTAGTATTAGCCCCCGGGGTATCATCAGTTCAGTAGTCAGAGCTTAGGTACTGCCAATGAGATAACTCTCCATCCAAGTCACAATCTATAAAAAGTTAACAATTATAGGTCAAAGTACGGTCTTCAAAACGAAGACTAGGCTAACACCGAACAGCAAGCTATAAAGGGCCACAAAATGACTAGTGTAAAGCAATTCAAACACGAACACCAACGGTCTAATCTACATAAAAAATGAGAAACGAGAAACACCTATGAACCATACCAACAAACGACAACCACTGAACAACCAATTTATTTATATGGCTTACAAATTTTTGGCTTTGAGCGTTCCTGGTGAAAGTAAATTCAGAAAAGCGTTTCCGGCTCATACAATTGATTGTGTTATTTTCATTTTATTGGATACTACAAGCACATAGAACGTGAATTTTTCAGAAAATTAAAAATAGCAAGTAAATTACAATTCTTACCTGGGACATTGGGAGCGTCCACAGAGCTAACACATTGGCCTTGTTGACACCACTGAAAAACATCAATTGTATTGGATAAGTTAAGTTTGCCTCAATGGGTAGATGTACAAATTGAGAGCTGTGGTGCTGGAATAATTTAGGTACTATGTAGGCTTTAACATTTTTGTGTTTTAGCGTAATGGGTGAAGGTAAATCATGAAGAGGTGTCTCAAACGCACAAAATGTATTTAGTGGTCTTTTCATACCATATCTTCTAATTTATATTTTCGTTTTAAAATATTTATCAAAAAAAACGTTTGTAAGCCGCAAATAAAAGAGGAAAACATGAATGCGAACAGCTTCAAGCAAAAAACATATGATTAGGGTATTATCGAGACAGATTCCACTGACTGAATATAAAACGAAAATTCAGAAAACAGATCACCAATCCAGGCTGATCGACATTACCAGCGACCATAGTTTGGGTATTTAGTCACAGTAGCAAAGTTGACCGCACATGAGTTTGGCTATTCATTGGTCATATAGCTATTCACGTATTCAGATATTTATATATGTCTAGCTTTCAAATGTTTTGGTTTGAGTGTTTGAAGGTAGATCCAGAAAAAGGCCTCGAAAATACGGGAAATTTCATTCAAACGAGTAACAGCCATACCTTATAGTTTCCACAAGCAGTTCCGTCATGCGCAAACTGACTTGAACAAGGTCCATTCAGATTTGCGGGATTTCTACACTGTAATCTGTAGCATACACTGGCCCATTTCATAGTTGTCAAAGGATAGTTTTCCTGAAGAAAAAAAAAATATATGGGATAAACCGTGACAACAAACCGAGTGGTGGGCGTCACATATATACAATAGAAAATTAAGAGTCTATATATGGTTTGAAACGTTGTATTCATACATGTGTGTGAATAATTTACGAATTGTGGGTGTGTCGATGTTACTCTTTCAATGATTAAAATCAAAATATGCACTCGTTTTTATTTGGCAATTAATAATGGGAAATGAACAAATGCATTATTGCTTGTTAACATCATTACTCTTTTTTTACAAGAAAGACTTTGTAAAATGTCCTGGTACATAGTACAAGTATAGGGGCCGAGGGGAAAGTAGGAATACAAAAATTATCATTGAAAATAAGAATTAAACTGGAAAAGGACACTCATTTACTTCAAGACTAAAAGACTATATAAAGGCTTCTCTTTTTTGCTTTTCGCTTTCAGAAGTTCCCCCTCCCCACACTTTTCAGTCTACTCCGGCTTCGCCACTGCATAGTTATCTATACACACAGTTAAATCATCATTTCGAGAAGGTTCAATTTTAATCATTATAATATCTTTACATTCAAAAGCTCTGTTATCATATGGTTTGATAAATTGCAATAAATTGTATTCTTATACTGTGTTTTAGTTAATATTGCCATAAGTCTATGTCATAAACTAGCAACACTTGACTACATACCCTACACATTGCTGACCCTCCATTTGGAGCATATGTAAGTCCACACTGATCGTCTACGCCGTATACCGTTTCACCTGGATTGAATGCAGCCAGCGTTAAATCTACCAATCCATCCATGGGAGAATTTTCCAAACAGTTTCTGAAATATTCAATTATTTTCACAATTACAAGATATTATTAAAAGTAACTACTTAGACTTGTTCAAAGGACAGTAAATAATAACAGATGTATCCCTTTTATTCTCTCAATGAATATAATATTCAAATACAGATGTTTAAGTTAACAGAGAGGCGGAAGATATCAAAGGGATATTCAAACTTACAGTAACAAACTGTCAACGCCAGGTTGAAAAACGACGAAAAGACAAACAATATACGAAGCACAATACTAAAACTAAAGACAGCAGCTATTTTGTGAATTTCATTTCATTCATATGTACTTATGATTTACTACAAAATCATTTTTTAAAAGCGCTGCAACTGAGTGTTTTTTTTATTGGTATGCCTGTGTCAATGCTAATGATTATTTATAATTTTACATGGTTATGTATTATGCTTTGTGTGTATGTCATATGTGTGTATTAAGCCTTGCATGTGTGTATGTCATATGTGTGTAAAGCTTTGTGTGTATGCCATGTGTGTGTATGTCATATGTGTGTTAAGCTTTGTTTGTATGTCATATGTGTGTATTAAGCTTTGTGTGTATTAAGCTTTGTGTGTATGTCATATGTGTGTATTAAGCTTTGTGTGTATGTCATATGTTACCTATGCTTATATGTCTAATATTTTATGTTTGTCAATGTCGGTTTAATAGCTCAGTAGATCTTGAACTGTCTATATTAATTTATAAACATGTATGACTCTAAATAAAGGTTTTTGTATTTGTATTTGTATTTGTTAAGTCCATCATGTTTTTTTCAGCAGACAGTGAGGAGTTGTTACTAAGGACCTTCACTGCAAACAAATCTGTTTGGCTTTTAATTAGATGTTGCCGAAGTCCTTGCTTTTGTGGTACATGTCTGTAACAAATTGACAACTAAATGTCTATGATGCTGATATATCCCCATTTGAACACTTTTACCAAGATAACGATAAAAAAAAAGAGGGGCGAAAGATACCAGAGGGACAGTCAAACTCATAGATCGAAAACAAACTGACAAACTAGAATAGACCGTACAACAAAAAGTAAAATAACAAAAATACCGAACTCCAAGGGATATATAAAACGGAAAGTCCTTTATCAAATGAAAAAAAAATCAAAAGCTCAAACACATCAAACGAATGGAAACAACTGTCATATTCCTGACTTGGTACAGGCAGTTTTGAAATTGTAGATTAAACCTGGTTTTATAGTTAGCTAAACCTCTCACTTGTATGACAGTCGCATGGAATTCCATTATATTGACAAAAATGTGTGAACAAAACAAACAGACATAAAAGGTAAACAAAAGTCGTTTAGGTTTTGAGCTGGTTTCCGTCAATGTGTCTATGGTTTACTCGAAAATATATACCTGTATAACAAATTTTCTAATTAGGAGCTAATTAACTGGATTTTTGCACAAGGATATGTTTCGATGTGTCTACATATCTAAAGATCTTATAAAAAAGGTATCAACAAAAATACCAAACTTTAATGTAAATTCAGATAGAGGGATGGCAATAAAACATGTCAAATTAAACATTAAACTTTAATAACGAAGGAACGAATGGAAAACAACTGTCATATTCCTGACTTTGTACAGAGATTTTCCGATGAAAATTATGTATTAAACCTGGTTATATATATAGCTAGCTAAACCTCCCACTTGTTTCCAAATGATAATACTTACGTTTCTAAACCTGCTATGTATGATCCAATAGATGCCCTTGAACATGACGAAAATATGAAATTTCTTGATGCTGAGGTGGCTGAGCTATATTCACTATTTGGAAGCGAGGGAGACATCACATATCCAAATTCTGCTGAACATCCGTTAGAATGATAACTGTCATGAGATGCTCCTAGGCTACAAGGAAAACACAGTTTGGTTTCAAAAAATCAGTACATGAACAGCAAAAAAAAAAAGCAAAGGAACAGCGCTTTTATTGCTGTTCTTCATCTCAACAATATATATATATATGCATGTTTTCATTATAATCTTGAACTGCGACGTAATAGGTATAATGTGTGGCAATAATTGTTTATTTTATCAAATTCTTCAATTGACAATATAATTAACATAAAACTTGAATTACAAAAGTTCAATTGAATATTGCAGTGAAATAAATGGAAAACAAGATTGGAAATAGACATTTACTTGTGCGCAAGTTCGTGTGCAGCGATGTGTATAATCATTGCGTTGAATGTTTCTTCGTTGACAGAGGACGCATACGAGTTACACACCCGTGACAGGTAAGCTATCCCTGAAAGAAAAGAAGAACATGTCAATTATACACGTGCGACAGGTTGGAAAGCGCAATATAATGTGTTTTGACTAATATGAATATTCGAGTACTAACGTGGGTAAAGACAACAAAACACCATCGAAAAAACCACGTGGTATATTAATTTATGGAACGCCACAGCTGTCTCATGCGGAACTCTGATATTACTTTATGTTGTTTTATTATTACTTGATGATATTTTGTCTTTACTTAATATGGTTTTGACATTACGTAATGATGTTTTGATATAACTCAATATGGAATAGTCACTACTTAATGATATTTCGATATTACACGATATGGTTTCGTATTGACTTGATATAGTTTTGTCATTACTCAATATGGTTTTGTCATTACTCGATGTGGTTTCACCATTATTTAATGTGGTTGTGTCATTAGTCAATGTGGTTTTAACATTACTTGATGTGAATGTGACTTAACGTTATGTAGTTGTTTCATTACATGATGTGGTTTTGTTATTTTGTAATGATTATTTGCCTATTATTTATATGGTTTTAACATTACGTAATGATGTTTCAAAATTTGACGATTTTACACTACATGATGTGTTTGTTTCATTATTTGATGTGGTCCTGTCATTCTTTGATGCGGTTATCCCATTACTTGATGAGGTAAAATCACGTGACCAATTCGGAAAAACCTGTTCTATTTTTAGATAGATTTCCATGTTGTATGTGCCTTGGATGAGTGTGGCCATCCATCGAATTAGAGTTCAAATTAAAGTTCGGGTTACTGTTTGAGTTAAACTTTGAGTTAGTCTTCGATTTCGAATTCAATTCATTTATATTAGAATTAAAGTTTTAGTTAGCATTGAGTTTCGAGTTGGACTTCGAGTTTGAGTCACATTTAAAGGTAGAGTTCTAGTTACAACATTAAATTTGAGTCACATTTTGAGGCAGAGTTTGAGTAAGATTCGAATTTAAGTCTCATTTAGATTAATTAAGATTTTGAGTTGAAATTCGAGCTATCTTATATGAGTTCGTAATTAAATTTTCTATCGCGGAACAAGGACTTTTGCTCGGGCTTCCGAAAAGAGGGCTCCGGGGTATGCGTACAAAAGATAAGCAATGTTACAGTATACAAAACATAGAAGTTGAAATAAAGTTAGATGTGGTGTGATTGACAATGAGACAACTATTCACCAGAGTTTAAATGCAGTGGATGTAAGAAATCATATATAGGCAACCGTACAGCCTTCAACACACCGTATAGTCAGCTACAAAAGGCCACCATGCACATGTGAAAAAATTCAAACGAAAAAACAAACGGTCTTATTTATAAATAAACAATCTACAAAAAAAAAATGACACACATTTATACAACGACAACAATTGAACTTCATGCACCTCTGTTGGGGCAGGTACATAAAGAAAGTGCACGTGGCGGAGTTTAACATGTATGTGAGCGCTAAATCCTAACCTTACATCGGACTGTTACAGTTGTGTAACAGCACAACACGAGAACAAAAATGTAAACTAGACAAAATGATGCCCCCGCATTCAACTCATTTAACCGCTTATATCCCAAAAATGACAAAAAAAAGTTCAATTATCTCCCAAAAGAGCAAAAGATAATAAAAATAAAAACCCTGACCACATGCACACCTTCAATATATGTACAAACAGACAGTAAAGTGAAAACTTCCTATAATTCAAACTGTAGGAGGAGTTATGCGGAATAACTATATACCCATAATGGGACGGACGGACAGACAGACAGACGGACGGACGGACGGGGGTAAAACAATATGCTCCCCCCCCCCCCCCCCCCCCCCCCGGTGCGGTGGCATACAGAACAGTTTCATTTGGCTGATTCAATAGATCGGTATGACTGGGTAATATAAATCCATCGGGGTGATCTCGGATGCTCCAGAAAGGCACCCGTCGTGTTATTCGAGATAGTACAAACCCAGTGATTTGGTTTTATTCGGTAGTTTACATTCAAGGAAAAGATGACGGTATTATGGTTACGACCACTGGAACATATCCGTCGTCACATGTGAAACAGATATTCCAAAAAGTTTATTTTTCAATTAGTGCGAGGTAGATCAGGGAATTTAATTGATTACAAATAAAAGATTGATATTCGTATAGGTTCAAATGATCATTTACGCTAAAAAAAAATCGGAGAATTCTTGTTTTATAGTATTGATGCTTTATCGCTTAGTCCGAGCCCCCCTCCCCCCGTTTCCCTGTAACTTTAGTGTGAGTTGATCTGAAGTGTTTCATTTGTTAACAATAAAGTTCAAGTCTTTTGATTTGTGTCGAGCCTGCGACATCAATGTAGCGGCAGTGAGACACAACAAACCTATATTTCGTCGTCGATAGTGGCGTCGGCGTCTCCATCTCCACTTTTTTTATTTATATTGAGTTTAACCTTTCATTATACATGTTACTAAACATGTATGCCATCATAATTTTGTACTTTTAGAATATCATACTGTATTTGTTTACCTCGACTATTGTATCTGTATTTATATTGTATGTTTCTCTGTAAACTTGTATTTAGTTTTAGAGAATAAAGTATCTATCTATCTATCTATAGATCGTTAGGTTTCTAGTTTTTTACATTTTTCATTTCGGGACCTTTTATAGCTTACACTATATATATAGGTTATGGGTTTTGCTCATTGTTGAAAACCATACAGTTTTGTTTTAGTTAAATAAAACCGAATTAAACTGTTTTGACATGATAAATTTGTAAACCTCCATGAAGTGTTTTAAAACTTGTATAGAAGTTATTCCTCAATTTCAAGAAAAAGCATCTACAGAAAAACTGTTTTTTTTTTTTTTTACCGATAAATGTATAGATAAATGTACAGCCGATCAACATATGACGCTTTTACACTTACAGCAGCAATATCAGGCGAGACACAGGGTTCCGTGGAATATTTTACAAATTTATTACAAAAATACTGCTTCCGTTTGAGAACTTAGGATAAAAACAACAGGACCAAGTGGTTTGGGGATATCCCAATTATGTCCGAAATACTGTAAACTTTTTAATACTTTTCTGCCGTTCCCGTTTTCATACCAAATAACTCTGAACAACCACTCGAACTTTAATTTGAACTTTAACTCAATGGATAGCGATACCCATCCAAAGCACATTAAACAAACGATATATTGAAATCTGTTTAAAAATAGAACATATTTTTTCCGAATTGGTCACGTGGTTTTACCTCATCAAGTAATGGGATAACCACATCAAAGAATGACAGGACCACATCAAAGAATGAAACAAACATATCATGTAGTGTAAAATCGTCAAATTTTGAAACATCATTGCGTAATGTTAAAACCATATAAAGAATAGGCAAATCATCATTACGAAATAACAAAACCACATCATGTAATGAAACAACTACATAACGTTAAGTCACATTCACATCAAGCAATGTTAAAACCACATTGACTAATGACACAACCACATTAAATAATGGTGAAACCATATCGAGTAATGACAAAACCATATTGAGTAATGACAAAACTATATCAAGTCAATACAAATCCATATCATGTAATATCGAAATATCATTAAGTAATGAATATTCCATATTGAGTTATATCAAAACATCATTACGTAATGTCAAAACCATATTAAGTAAAGACAAAATATCATCAAGTAATAATAAAACAACATAAAGTAATATCAGAGTTCCACATAAGACAGCTGTGGCGTTCCATATTGATTGAATAGTCAAAAGTGTTTGTCTTTCCAAATAATAAGCAAACATGTAATGGAATGCATGAGCAATTTATAGTTTTAATTGTATTTTCCTTTGATGAAATATAACAGATATACTGTACATTTTAATAAGTTGACACCTTTACGTTTTCTTGTTGCTGTGTTTTTTTTAACTTTTTGTTTGAAATAAAAGATATATTTCGTCAGTTGTTGTAACATTTCTATTGCTTTATCGGGTTATTTTTTACATGATCGTCTCTATTGAGAGGATTTGCAGAATAATTGAAAAAAGGAAAAACCAAAGCAAACATGCAGGTTTGTTAGCAAAATGTTCCCCTCCGATACGTACCCGTTAAATACGGTAACATGTTGTGAGTGTATTTTAATAGACCGGGGATGAAATTTATATAAACATAGTCAGAATACGGTAAAACGTTGTGAAATGTGCTGTACTAGACCGGGATAGTCAGAATATGGTAAAACGTTGCGAGTGTTGGCAGTTAGTCAAAATCTCATATCTCATGCAGAAATTGTCAAACGAATTACTGTATAGTCAACAAAACATGATGAAAAAGAAACCTACCAAACATGAAAGCTTTCTGGTAAAGGATATCAAAGGAGTTTTGTTCACCATGTGTCATTGTGTTATAATAGTAAAAAATGAACATGGAACTTGATACTTTGGTAAAACGGAATATTATGACCCATAATTCCACAAAGTATGAACACTTTGGGCAATTGGTATCTGATAATTTGTGTATAACTGACATATGGACGATAAAACGGACGACCAGATGGACGCTGACTATTACTATGTGTTCTGTGGTACGCGTTGCAGGTGACAATAAAAAGTATAAAATAAGCAGTTGAGCAACTCTCCAAGGTTAAGTTAGGAACCGTAGTACAGGTGGCATAATAACAAATCATAGTGCAAAAAATAAACGTAAGACAAGTCTGTCTGTCTAATCTAAATAAAGACTAGGACCAATGAAAATATGAGTGGAAAATACACATGCACAGACATACAGCTGAATTAAAAACATGAAACTAAATCTTTATGAATAAATTCTTCAAATTACCTATTGTTCTTTTGTCTGTTATTTTTTCTGCCAAATCATACCTACAAAATTAAAATGATAATTAATAAATGTTGTGCGTCCGAAGTGCTTTTTAAGTTTTAGTCATTATTTGCTCAAATTTAAAAATTGGAAGCAAAGGATGTACCTGTTTCGGAGTTATATGACAAATAAGAACTTAAAAGAATAGCCAAATGTATCTTGCGCCAATTTGAGGGAGTTGACACCTTAGTTTCTTAATGAATTTTAAAATCTTTCTTGAATTATGTCATTCAGCTAAGCGGATGATACCCTCGCAGTCGAACAGTCCATCATCAGCGATACAAAAGTGTTGCAGAACAAAAAACCAAAAAAACAACAAAAAAAAGAATAAAAATATAGAAGATAATTGTGTGTTTCATCTAGGATTTCTCTAATCACAATTTCATATTTTGGAAACGAGGGTGTTTGTGAGAAATAAACTTTTATAACAGTCTATGTAATAACCAATATCAGAAGTCCAATGGATTTCTGCCAATATTGTACAAAGGAACACATGTACATGCTAATGAAGTTCTTTAACTCTACATTCAAGGGGTCAACATAGGTTAAGGGACCTAACTCTTAAAAATCACTGGTACGTTTGGATCTACTACGTTCAGAAAATAATTCTTTTAAGCTTCTAAGTAACACAGATTATTTTAATTCATTTTTACACAAATGATTTATAATTGTGCTAAAATTGCATTTATTACAATCGCATTACCGATTTAAGAGTTACATCCCTTTACCCTGGTATACGACAGTATTTTTCGAAATGTCTCAATACATGTCTTGTACATCTTATAACTAATAAAAAAAAAAACCTTTAATTCAATGCGTCCGAAGCGCTATTTTGAATTAACCTTCATCAGGATCGCTCAAAACCAATATTTGAAAGCCAAGGGTGTATAAGTTATATCTGTGTATATGGTATACCTACCCAGTAAACAGCGCAGCGTGATCATGAGCTGGTATGGCATCAGTATTCCTATTGGCATTTATCCACTGTGAGAAAGTCAGTAATGTATTCCCATCATTTACTACATTCGAACTGATTACATTGTCTTCTGTCCATTTTGAGGCTTCAATATTCTATTTAAAAAGAAAGCAGTAAGATATAATAGCTCGTTTCCATGGTCTTCCGAAATTTAAATGATCCAACATGACTATAGATAAAAGATATCTAACTGTGTATGTACAGATTAAGAGGCATTGTGAGACTTCGATGTTTTATAAAAAGAAAACAGTTTGATGTAGACATGTAACCGACTTAGAGAAGCATGCTTCCATAGTCTTAATAATAGAAAGAATATACCTATATTTGTGAATTTAAAATAAGGGGGTACAATTTGAATCCAAAGAACAATTTACATGAACAGGGAAAAACACTGGAAACGAGATAGAAAAAAAACAAGATAAAAGACTTGTAAAAACAAATTATTGTGTTGAATCAGGGTCATAAATGCTTAATTTAGCATATTCTTATTTCAATTTCTGAGCAAATTCTGCATTTGGCTGCTTTCATTGTAGAATTTTCACGAAACTGTATTCTACGCAACTTGTTTTATAAAACATATTATTTTTCGTATACCTTCCTTTCAAATTTAAACGGATGCATAAACTTAAGGTCGTGTACTTCTTACACTGCATGCCTTATTCTTGCAGGTTCAGTAAACACACAGGACAAGACATAAAAACTAGACAAATATACGGGCCAGGAAATGAGAGACAAACATACATGTCAGAAAAGAGAAATGGTGGGAAAAGAAAGATAGACAGACAGGACAAAAAAGACAAACTAGACAGGGAAAGATAGACAGATAACAAGACATGCCAAGAAAAAAGAGATAATCATATATGACAAGGAAAACAGACAGACAAACATACATACAGGAATAGACAAACAAACAGAAATGACAGGAAAGAGGAAAAAAACAGACAAGGCGGGAAAATACAGCTAGACAGGCTGCAGACAGGACAGGAAAAGACACACATGACAGGAGAAGATAGACAGACATGAAGAATGGGAAAAGGCATGCATTTCAGGAGAAGATAGACAGACATGACAGAAAATGAGAGACAGTTAGACATGGCAGAAAAACACAGAATTACGGACAGGACAGGAAAAACGAGACAACTAGACATGACAGGACAGGACTGGCATCTAGATCTTTAAAAAATGTACTATAGCCAAACAGCAAATGTCATATGCTTTGAATTTGTTTGTTCAGTGTTAACATTAGGCTTGTTTGTACAATGTCATAAAAGTGTACTGTTTACACGAAACAGAGTTATCTACCTCAAATGTTTAGTAAACTTACCGTAGCGATAACAAACCCTGCCAAGATGACCTTTACGTCTCCTTCTGGTGTCATTAATGATTCATATCTTGTATTTATCTGAAAGCAAAGGATTATAAAAGAAAATGAAAACAAACAAACTATAAACAAAATTCGGAGGACAACCATACAAGTCCAAGAAAACTTTTCATTGAGACTGGTAACCGATTGGTGTACAATTTGATAACCTGTAAATTTCTATAGATATTTTATTTATCTTTCTATCTTTGTAACTTTGGTGAAAATAAGAATGGAGGGGCATCATAAATAAAATACTGTTATTGTAAAATTGTATGGATAAGAGCAAGAACATATTAAGCAAGTGAAAATTATTTAAAATATTAAGGAATATTTACTTAACAATAAATATAAAACACATAATAAAACAGAAATATGAATCAAAAGGGGGTGCAATCCACAAACCCGTGCTTTGTAAACATTTTTAAAAGACAAACTTTTAAAGTGGAAAGGTTAAAATCTAAAATCAGAGTGGTTTAACCTATCCATATGCACCCTCATCAAAAGTCAAGAGACTCATCAATAATTGTCTTATGTCATATCTTATTATTTGGAAAATAAGGTAATGACGGAAAAACTTAAGATTGTTTATGTTGAATTGATTCACACGTATGTGGGACGATTAAGACCATGACATATTGTATAGACACTCGTGTCTAGAGATTTTGGTTATTCTGGTCATTTATTAACTATCTGAATGACATATACCCTACATCTCATTTTTTACACCAGTCATGTCGCCATAAAAGCAGCTACATGCACTTTTTACTATACGTAATAACATTTTTGAGGTTGGGGCTGATTAAAAGCAAGATGACCTTTCAATCCAGTATCAGTTTACCTATGAACCTCGTTATTATACCGAATGCTTTAAGCTAATATATATTATAAATGCACGTAATATATTAGCTTACAGCATTCGGTAAAATAATAAAGTTCATTGATTTGTTTTAATCAGCCCTAAAACGCTGACCTCAAATTGATACTACATATTAAAGATTGACAGTATAATGAACTATAATCTCTTCAGGTCATTCAAGTATATATTATTTCACAAACGGTGGATCAAAATGTAACCGATTAACAGTGTACTCCCCTTTCCCTGCAAAACGCACGCACGTTTTGGTTAACCATTTACAAATACAAATGTCGGTTGAAGTTGTGCCATGTATTAAATGGATGTATGAGGTCGGCAGTCCAACCATTTGAAATAAATAAGAAGATGTGGTATGAGTGCCAATGAGACAACTCTCCATCTAAGTCACAATGTATAAAAAGTTAACAATTTTAGGTCAAAGTACGGCCTTCAACACGGAGCCTTGGCTCACACCGAACAGCAAGCTATAAAGTGCTCCAAAATGGCTATAGTGTAAAACAATTCAAACAGAAAAACCAGCGGTGTAATCTATATAAAAAAGAGAAACGAGACACATCTATGAACCACACCAACAAACGACAACCACTGAACAACAGGCTCCTGACTTAGGACAGGTGCATAAAAATGCAGCGGGTTTAAACGTTTGATTGTTTTTAAAAGTTTACAATAACAGCAACAAATATATTGAATTTGAAATACTAATACAGACAAGTTACCGGTTTAGTATATGTAGCTCACCATTCTGGCACGTAGCAGGTGCGTTCGACTCCAATCTTAATTAACTATGATTGACACTTTTCCTATCGAAGGTAGTGGTTCTCTTCCTTCACCAATAAAAAATGACACCCACGAAATAGCCAATTTTGTAGAAATTGGTGTCACACACAAAAAAATCAATCAATCGTTCACCATTCTTGTTTTCCAGATACACTAATTATTGAGACACTGTCAGATATCTTTCAAATGATAATTCGAAATATGAAGTGTAAAGTTTATAAGATTGGCTTGAGTGGAAATCAAAATTACATGTTTGAGACATTAAATTGTCTAACATATTATGTTTAAATATATTTTGATTTGAAACTTACAAGATTTTCACCATATTGCAAAACGTTTTATTCTTAAAATTCGGTGGCGAAAAACAGTGTGCGTACTATGCATAATAAGGATATACACGACCTTTTACGGTACACAATTTTACAAAATCAACTATGGTTGCAACTTCCTCAAGAGTTTTTTTTTTTTTTTTGGTTGGAAAGATTTCCTTTTAACTCCTCTTTGTTGAGAGAATAAGCATACACGAAGGAGTTTCAAATTGATGTCTTGCCTTTCTTTGAATATACAGCTTTACATTATCTGTGTGTCCCTTTTTGAATGTCACAACTTTTTACCTTGAGCGCGTTTCTGATTAATAGTAATCTAGAACTGTGCATAGGTCGCAACAGGCTTCACATCACATAAAAAAATTAACTTCCTTTCAAGACGTTATAATGTCGCATCAAAACAAAAACTAGTCTTTTCGCCTAGAATCACCCCCATTAATATCAAACAATTAAACAACACAAAAACTATCAATATATCAATGTATATTTTTTTTCTATTAAATCATGACTTACCCCATTAGTAACGAACAAGTAAAATTGAATTATCATGTTTTCTGCATCTGCATGCTTTTGAGCGTCATCTGTTGCTGTAGACATTTCTTTCCAACTGTAAATAAAATATAAATATACATCTTTGTAAATTGTTTTAAAATTACATGTGTGACCTGTATGCAATGTTTAAGTTGAACTTAAAATCAATTAAATGAAAGGCATTTAGCAAAACCAGATGAAATCAAGAATAGAGTTTGGTTATGTTTCTATATTTTTTTAACCTTTCAGTAGTTAAAGCAAGTTATGATTAAGAATGTCTTTTATCATGACTAGTAAGGCTTTAACTATAATGGTTACTTAAAACTAACGCACAGTTAAATCAAATTGGGTTGATGGCATACAAGAAATTAACAAAATAACACATAAGTACATAATACATTATAAGTAATAGACAAATATATAATATACATATGTACATATCATGCAGTAGTCTAGTCCACTCTCCTAAGTAGCATACTGCATAGTTAACGGACACAGAAGACACAGAAACCAATTTATCAATGGTATTCATACCATCTATATTTGAATAGGTATTATTAATTTTCCGTAAAAATTTGAATCTCAAGTTTTCCTTTTTTGTACATTAAAATAAGAAATGTTCTTCATCATCTATTCTATTTGAACAACTGGCATAAACGATCCTTTCTGTAATGAAGGTAAAAGTATGCTTACATGATATAGTTCGCATAATCAATGCAAACTAAATACTCAACGTATAATACTGGGATCTGCCTCTTTGTACGCTTCTTTTTTTCTGAAAAATATCACAACAATTCATAGAATTTATATAAGTAACAAAGTACATGTCCTCGTGTCATTAAATTATTATAACGTATGCTTCGGAGAAGCATTGTAATCCATCCGTTTGCTATACCTCTGTTTGTTGCTTAATGATTTTAACATTTATTAGTTTCTCGTGTATCTTTATCATTCTCCTCGATTATTCTTCCGAAAGTTCCGAATTTCGGATACATTTATTCAAAGATCGTTGAAGTTTTATAAAAAAAAAAAGCTTATCCAAATTATTGGTCTGTGATATCCAATATAACCAAATATTGTACGAAAAGATTGGAAAGCATTTAAGGAATGACTGTAATATTTTTACCTGTCTATGAAGAAATAACATAAAAAATGTGGTGCACACTGAATAACCCGCGTATCGTGTTATTTAAAAGTGTGCACCACATTTATCAGGTTATTTCGAATAGGCAGAAAAAATATTACAGTCATTCATTATAATTTAATTCTAAATTATATTTTGAAGGAGTAAATCATGAAATAACGTTGATGAAGTCACGGTCACATGCCAAAATTATGTCTATGAGCTGATAGACAAACAACTTTCAGCCAATCAGAAGACGTTTAACATCCAAAATTAAATTATTGGAAAATGTTATGGTTTCGCATTTTCTGATCGTTATTAAACACTTTCACGATTTTCATCTATGTCTTATTTTTTGTTATGTGCGCGATACATCGATAGTAATTGATTGCTGTTTGATTATCGTCTATATATTTCAAGAATGTTTACGACGACACATAAAAAGAAACAATACAATTGCAAGCAAATATCAAAATTGGATAATAAACAGTCAAAAAAATAGTACATTTTAAAATCTTAAACAAAACTATGAAAGGTAAATACGCTACCGGATGTTCAATTCATCAGGTGATGTTGAAGAATTCAACATTTATTGCTTTCTCCTATATATCTTTATCATTCTCTTCGGTTCTTCTGAAAAATTCCGTATTGGCTTAATGAATGTGTATGAAATATTTGCCACTGGACGTTTAGCAAACATGAAATTTGACCCTTATGAAAAGGGTCAACATAAAAAATTGAAAAACCATACGAAATTGTACAAATTTTATGCCAAGACATACCTGTTGTTGGACTTGACCTCTTTCCTCTATCCTGAAATATAACAGCATAGTTTACACTCTTTTATTGGCCGTGTAAATGTTTATTCAGATTATTTCAAACAGACCCATATCAACCCGATATGAAGGAATTAAGTATTTTACACCAACTTATTTTCGCGATTGATTTATTTGCGCCATTTTTCCGGTAAGAAAAAATAACTCGCATAGGTCACAAACTTGGAACATCTCTTTCATTAGCAAACTTGAAAAAATATGACGAACAAATAAATATTGCTGGAAACTGAATCTGGTAAAACTGAATAAATGCGAAAAAATATCCACAAAAATCAATATAGATTTTACTACACAGTCTCGTTGATTAAGATATTAATCCTCTCAAAATTTTCAACTTTAAAATGTGAGGTTTACCGAAAAACGTAACTTTGTAAAATAGTGAACCGAGAAAGCTTTTTGAAAAGCTTATAGTCTTCGCCTTTCTTTCATTGTCTTCAACCAAAATAAGATTGCAAAAAGAAAAAAAACAGAAAAAGCAACAACAAAACAAAACAAACAATGCTCCGCCACCCTACCAAAAATATATAATAATTAAAAAAATCGAGATGATGTACTTACACGGAAATTAAATACTGGTACTGTTTGGGTTGTTGTGTTTGATTCTGTGATTCGTTCTGTTGTTAATTGTGGGTCTGTAGTGAAATCTGGATTCTCTTTCAAGTATAAAAGGTCAAACATTGTAAATTAAAAAAAAAACGTTTCTACGTGTGTATGCATCCTGGTTTTCAAATGTTTAGGTTTCACCATTCCAGGTGATAATGTAAATCAAGAATCGCCCATCGGACGCATGGAATTTATAAAGTGTTGTTTTCATTTGATGAAATTCAATTCAATATTTTATTTAAGTCTCATTTTTCAATTCTATTTATTGCAACATTACATTAAGTGTATAATATAGATATAGAATAGAGAGCCAATTTGTACAGAATTTTAAGAGACTATAACATTAAAACATGAACGAAAATTGATTTGAAAAAAAAGTAAAATAACAAAAATAGCGAACTCCAAGGAAAATTAAAAGGATTTTTTATTGATTGATTGTTGGTCTTTATACACTCTTGGTTGTATCATGGCGGCCTGTTTCTCTTGGGGAGAAAGCCGGAATACCAGGGGAGAACATACGGCCTTAAGCAGGGAAACTGGCAATCCTTTAATCGAACACACCTGTCACGAACGAGGTTAAATCTCACATCAATGTTAATAGGTTAGTGTTTGTGTTTGTGTGTCAAGGGGAGGGTGTTAATCTTTGGAAGTCACTAGAACATCTTTTAATCTCTTACGGACAAGAAAAACTCGTTTAATTTTACATTGAAAGAGCGGTCAATAATACCAATTTATAGATATGTCTTTGACCAAATAATAAACTTTTTATGGCATTTTCAAACACTGTGTACCTTTTAAGACGAAAGTATCATTAAAGAATGTTTGCCCTTCTGTAAAAAGCATTTCATAGATCAAATATTCCCGGTTAAGAGCAGGATGGGCCGTTGTCTTCTCGGGTGAAGTTTGTAGCGATGGGACGACTTGTCTCTTGGTCCGAGATCCTGTTGTTTCCGATGGCTCTAGAGTAAACCATGATGATCCTATTATGTATGTAGCATGCTGTAACACAATTATAATAAATGACGTTTTAAAGCATACAACTTTCTTTAAATTCAAAAGAATTAAATAATAACAGGAACAAGAATTAAATGTTGCTTTGCTTTGAATCACTTGATTTTTTCGCTGGCCGTCTGTATTATAATTTAACACTTTATTGATTCATGCTAGAATATACATTTTAAGTGAAGAAAAATAAACCATGAATAAGATCGGATTACCTCAAACAGATTTCGGTTGACTGACCATGCGTATTTTGACATCACGTCGTGTTTACTATAAATATGTCTTACATTCTAGTTAATTATAGTTAATCTCTTATAAAATACGCTCTACATTTTGGTCTCTTTGCTCACCAACGTTTTATATATAAAAAATAAGATGTGGTATGATTTCCAATGAGAAAACTTACCGACATATACCAAATGACGCAGCCGTATGTAGCTATATATAATGATATGTTTGGCTTCGACCTTACTAGATTAAATATATTCCAGAAACAAATGTCACGCGCATGAAAATCGGTACCATACGTTTTGTTTTGTTTTGTTGCTTTTTGTTGTTCCTCAATATAATGAAGACACCGTTAAATGAATTACATTTCATAATGAGAATTCGATAAGCTTACTGGAAAGATATTGCATTCTTTTACAAACTTTTTTGGAAAGCTAATGCATGAAAAGCAAGCTTTTTTGAAAGCTAAAGCATGATTCTACAAGCTTTTTGGGAACTTTATGCAATGATTTGACAAGCTTTTTGGAAAGCTAATGCATGCTTTTGTAAAAAAATACTTACAATATGATAATGCGATAAGTCGTCACTATAAAACTTTACTAATGCTGATGCTTTATTTTCTGTATTGTAGTATAACGCAAAATCCTGCAATCAAATATAAGAAGATGTGGTATGAGAGCCAATGAGACAACTCTCCATCCATGTCAAAATTTATAAAAGTAAACCATTATAGGTCAAAGTACGGTCTTCAACACGGAGCCTTGGCTCACACCGAACAAGTATAGATTCAAATAATTGATTAAACAGAAAAGTATTTAGTAATTAATTAAATTGGATAGTGTGATTTATTCAAACAAAATCCTGCAATTAGATTCAAATCATTGATACAATAGAAAACTGATTAATAAAAGCAGAGACATTTGGATTGTATTTTAACTTGAAACTAAATTCTAAGGCATATATCAATATCACATTTATGAGCAATATCACAAAATCATATACTTTAGTAGATGGAATATAGGAAAAGCGAGCAACTTCCAAATACAGATACTTTTTTTAGTTTTCTAGTGTGTGGTATATTTAGATTTGATTGATTGATTGATTGATTGACTAATTAATTGATTGATTGATTGATTGATTGATTGACTAATTGATTGATTGATTGATTGATTGATTGATTGATTGATTGATTGATTGATTGATTGAGAGCACAAGCTGGTAGTATCATTCAACCTCCTTGCTCTGACTTTTACATCCGACAGCCAGACCCGCGTTACAATGGACGTTTGTTTGGTCTTGTCGGATGTTTAAATACACAGTCACTTCCAAATCACTGACTAGGTAAGAACCACCTGTTTGCAATAAAAGTAAACTTTCAATAATTCTTTGAGTGGTCCATATATGATCTTTTGTATCTATCAAACAAACCCTCCTTTGCTAATTGAAGTCCATCTTTCGGTCCGGCGTTTAAAACAAAACTACTAGATTGAATTAATTTTCAATTTGTGTTTGAGACATCCGTGCGATATTGGCCACTGGACGTTACAAACAACTAATAACTAATAATTAACCTTTCAGCACTAAAGATATTCATATCCATCAAGTAAAGGATCCAGAATAATATTATCAAACTTCCTTTGCTAATATTATATAGTATACTGTCCTACATTGCAGTCCAAATTTATTTCTTAGTGTTTAATGAGTAAAAAGTTAGGGGATAAAATTATACTCTAAAATATCTGGGGTGTGAAAAAGTTAAAAAACAAAAATGTCAAACTGAATTAAAAGAAACCCAAGACACAATCTTGTTCATATTTTGAGTTAAAGCTGGTTGATTTGTTTTATAATTTAAATATATGCATTTCTTCAAAAAAAGCACAGTGACAATTTAATGTTTGATTTTTTTTTAATTTACATCACTTTTAAAGGAAATGTATCCCGTCAATAACAGTTTACTGTATTCTCTAGCCAGAAGTATATTTGTACGTGACATTAAAGCGAGACATACATTGACTGAGTCACATTTCTATACGGCATTATGTACATGTTCCGTTAACTTTATAAATGTATAAGTAATGGCATAGACTAATCAGGCGAGGAGTATATTTGAACGTGACACTAAAGCTAGACATACATTGAATGAGTCATATTTCTATATGGCATCATGTACGTGTTCCATTAACTTTATAAATGTATAAGTAAAGTCATATGATAATCTAGCCAGAAGTATATTTGTACGTGACATTAAAGCGAGACATACATTGACTGAATCACATTTCTATATGGCATTATGTACATGTTCCATTAACTTTATAAATGTATAAGTAAAGGCATAGAGTAAATCTAGTTAGGAGAATATTTGAACGTGACATTAAAGCGAGACATACATTGTATGAGTCACATTTTTATATAGCATTATGCCTATGTTGCGTTAATTTTTAACTTAATAAATGTATAAGTAAAGACATGTACTACTCTAGCGAGGAGTATATTTAAACGTGACATTAAAGCGAGACATACATTGACTGAGTCATATTTCAATGGTGGCATAATGTACATTGTACCATTAACCTTGTAAATGTGTAAGTAATGCATTGAATTCTTGTCTTTATGACTAAGCTAATTGCCACAAAGTGAAAATTGTAATAGAAAATCAATAATTCTGAAGGCCTTAAGCAATAGGTTAAAGTATGTGAACTTTGGTGTAAACTGTCAAGTCATTCTTTGTCTGTACTGTTTCATATCACATACTTGAAATACAAAGGAGCGCATTTAATTTGCACTTTCATCAATGTTAGTCTTTAGGCTTGATGCATATTTCAAATAACCGTTATCTTATATGTACACAATATTTCTTTAGTAAAACGCTACATTACTTATGTCTAGATAAATTACATTGGATGCAAACTATAAAGTTTTTTTTATCTTATTGAAACAAATTTTTCAGAAGAACATTTTGTCCCTTTTATATGTAGAACTGCCGGCCATCCATAGTGGCGCGAATTTGTGACGAAGAGTGCAGCCCCTTTCACATACAATGGAAGGTTATCAAAAACCAAGGATAAAGTACTAAAACTTTGTAAGAAACTTCATATTATTTAGCAGTTTTCGTTTTTCCAGTTGAATCAATGTTTGAGTCTAAAGAAATCATGTTTCGGTCAGTGTTACAAGCACTGTTGAAGTTAGTATGTGTAACAACAACAAAAATGAATATATAAAAAAACAATCGCAAAATTGTCTATAATAAAATATGAAAGCTGCATAAATAAAAAAAATTTAAAAAAAATATCAAATTAACCCAACAACCTTGATAGACAACAAAGTTGCACAATGCTTATGAAAATGCGTATGCGGTATTTCACAGACGCCAAAATATAAATTTAACTGATTTGCCAGAACCATTAAAACAGAATCGGCCTGCGAATACACATTTATAAGCTGTGTCACTGTCCTAAATTAGTCATACACATATAAAACATACGTATAAAAGGACATTACCGCTGGAGGGTACTATGATAATATCTCCAACACGTTTGTTATTAGTGGAGGAATTTTAAACTGCTTTGAGGAATAGGTCGTTATGTTAGATTATCACACCAATGTTATATTAATCATGCCCCCTTACTTTGACAGCATGTTGATAGTGGATTTACCCTGCCACGTTCTTTATGTGCCTGTCCCAAGTCAGGAGCCTGATATTTAGTGTTTGTCGTTGATTGATGCACGGTCTACCAACTGTTTTTTGTACACTTATTGTATTAAGCATAAATCTGGCTGCGTTTTTCTCTTTGTACTTGTATCCAATTTTGTCATACCGGACAGCGTCCTTAAATTGTTTGCATCCTCGTCCTTTGGTCTCGGTAGATAATTGTCTCAGATATGTTGATGGTACTTGAATGAATGAATCTACGCATCACTGGTAGGGATAACAGCTAGACATTACAATTTCCATGGCAATGTCGAGAATTAAAAGGACAAAACGTGACCAAAATAACTTATCAAAAACCGAGACAAGCACACTTTCGAAACATATACGAATGTGACATGCAAAAGGCAGACAAAACGGAAGTCCTGTAAAACAGGCCGGGATATCATAAGCTTCAGTTTGGAAGTCAAATTCAACGACAATAGCATCTTATTGTCATTTCTTGTAATGAGTCAAATTTAGGCATTCTCCTCGTACATATCAGTCCTTCAGAATCGCAGAATCGGACAATGAGGACAAGCCTTTTGGTTTTTTTTCATCACATTGCGTTTTATATGTTGATAATGAAGTCAATTTTCAATGGTATTTTTAAACGGTATATACTCAACAAAAAAAAAAACACACAACCTCCAATAATTTCTTTGGGGTTAAAAACTTCTATTGCATATAACCTATTTTTATAGGTTCTGAAATAAGTGAAACTTTTGACACAACGTTTCTGAAATCATCAACACCAAATTCTGTGAAAATTTTCTTAACTTTAATTTTTGACATCTCAAATAAAAAAACACACTATTAACCAAAAAAGCAACAAATAAAAGTCTTGGTATCTCTTCGCCTGAAAACAACAAAAATGACTTTGAATTTTCAGTTTCTTCATCGAATTCTTATCTCATAGCCAAATTAAAATTGACTTATCTCAGACTTTTGATTTTTAACTTTTGTGGTTTAAATCTCCATTGTCGTAACTAAAACTAGTAAAAAGGAAAAATTCTCTGTTAACTCTGCATTAATTTCACAGTTATGCTTAAAATATTTTGGATTTCTAAAAGTTTGAAGCAAAAACAAGAAATTGTGAAACTACTATATATGGTCAGATGTGGTGCGTTATTTATGTTGTTAAGTTTATATAACAACTCTATAATAAAGATACTTACCCCTATGTTAATATCTGTCTTATTCTTTAGATTAATCCCATCATACAATAATACTGGTGGTATTTTCTGAATATTATTTTTCTTTAATTCAATCGACACATCGCCAACAGATTTGGATGTGTATTGGAATGTCAATTGCTTAGGATGATTACTAGCACTTCTTTTAAAACGAAAATTGTCTTTTGTTTTCAGGTTCACCGAAACTTTCTCTGTAATAGCATTGTGCCAAAAAATAAGAATGATGAAAAAGGATGATAATGATGATGATGGACGGTTGTATAACGTCCAGCGGCATACGAATTGCATGCATATGCAGGATAAGAGCATGTTGAATTGAAAATAGGCATGTGTAAAATGATAAGGAGTATGGGCGGATTTGGATGGGGGTCGTCCATATCTGTGTTCTTTGATTTCTTAGGCCATTTTTCTCTTTTTACAGATTTTTTTCTATTTATATATTTCAGCTCCCCATTATTCTCTATTCTTTTTATTTCGGGCTATGTTTCTCTATTCTTTTTTATGTTCGCCCTTTTTCTGCACTTTTTTGCGATCATTCTCTATTCTGTAAACCCCATCAAGATCCTCATGTGAAAAACGCATTAAGTATATTTCATAATATATCCAAACTAGTGCTAAAATGTATTATTCTTTTTATTAGTTAGTGCAAAGGGAAGTGCACTAGTGTGCACTGCAGGCTTCATGGCGCCACGACTGGGTTGGTGATAATCAGTACCATCAAGTCCGCGGAAATTCGGCTTTCCAGTACCGATCCCAGCCGGATATTAATGACCCACTTTGTGGTTGTCTATCCTTTAATTTATCTAAAATTTATCGTCATTATAAATTTATTATACAAATGCTCTATAAATATAGTTTGACTAGTGCATTAGTACACGAGCCGGTTCAACGCGTTATCCTTTGGGAAATCAGTATAATAAATTTTATTGCAAGTCATAAAACTATTAAGCTTTTGAAGAAAGACATATTATCGACTATAATAATTGATATAAGAACGTTCCTTTAAGGATATTAATTTTGTAAGTAAACACAAATACCTTGTTGCGGTGACGATGAATAGCAAGATGTTCTTTTTTCGTATGTAGTGTTGCGTTTTCGGATCGTCGTTAAGTGTCGTATCTTTATTTTTCCGTCGTGTTCAAAACAATTTGGATTTAGAAATACAATGTACATATTATTTTCTAATAACTGCATCATCCATGTTTAAATTGAAATGTTTATACAAAAACAAATTTGATTTAGAAATACATATTTATTTACTAACAGATGACCTAGCAAGGAATGTCTTAATCAAGAAATGTATATCATTATTAATAATTTGAATTTACCAATTTTTCACATTAATTTTAAATATTATACGAGGTGTTTAGTCGAGAATGATAAACTGTTTTAAAAAAGAGACACATGATATAAAGGAACATTGAAAACCCATAAGCCGGAGAAAACACTGCATGACAAGGCCATGGCCAAAAAAAAAAAACAAAAAAAAAAACGAAAATCGACCAAAAAGAGAACAAATCCACGAAACACGACATAGGAAACTAAAGATTGAGCAATACGGGATTTCTGATAGCAGTACGTCTATAGTAGCATACAAGTCATTTTGACTTTATAATAATCTTCAGAATAAAATACTCAGATGCATCACGAATCAAAGTCAAACAGAACAAATATTTCGGCTTAACAAATAGCCTTCTTCGGTGTCAATTATTTTAACAATACGATTTATTAACAATAATTGACACCGAAGAAGGCTATTTGTTAAGCCGAAATATTTGTCAACACGATTTATTAACAACATCTTCGTATAATACCATCTTATATTAGTATCGTTGTGCAAATCTCTAGACTTATATAATTGTTTTCCTTATCTGCACAGTATCGTCTATTCTAGACGATCCGGTACATAGTAAATTTGCTGGTTGGTCCTTTTTATAGACTTCTATATATATATATATACAATGAACCAAATAGTGACCTCTGAAAACATGTTGGGGTTGGTTTTTGTTTCCTTGACATTTGCCTTACATCCTATGTCTCGTGTAACGTGTTCGCCTTGAGTGCTGGGGGTTGTTTGCTCGGTCCACGACCAGGTTAAATCAAAGACTTGAGCACGCGGCCTTTAAGAGTAAGAGTAAAGACTGTTCGATTCAATGTCAGAATAATGTGTCCAGGTTTCAAAAATCGTCCCGAATATGCATGAAATATTTGTCAATCAATTTTCCTGTCGACTGTTACCTTTTGAACTATAAAAATAATTAGATGTGGTATGATTGTCAATGAAACAACTCTCCACCAGAGATCAAATTACGTAGAATTTAACCACTATAGGTCACCGTGAGCAAAACCCATACCACATAGTATGAAGCTATAAAAGGCCCCGGAATGACAAATGTAACATGTTTAAATCCGGCTCAACGCGTCGGACTATTACTTTAAAGCAGGTTTCATAACACAATTATACCATATTAAATGTTCTCGTCCTGAATTTACAGGTAAATTGGCAACTAGATGTTAAACACGCATCCATTATCAATATCAACGTGTTTAAAATATTGAAACTTATTATTATAAGTAAAACAAAAAGAGGCGAAAGATACCAACAGGATATTAAAACTCATTGGTCGAAAACAAACTGACAATGCCATGGCAAAAAAACGAAAAATTATCAAACGACAAACAACGGGGTTGATCTCAGGTGCACAGAAAGGGTAAGCAGATCCTCCTCCACATGTGGCGTCCGTCGTGTTGCTCATAAAAGTAAAAACCCAGTGATAAGTCTAATGCTGCGTTCACACGTAATTCGAATTCGATTCGCATTAACTAATTCGAATTAGTTTAATTCGCATTCGAAACGTTTTACGTCCAAACGTAAATTCTAATTCGAATTGCAATACGCGTCAAATTCGCTTTACTGTCCGAACGACGTTAACTTTTAATTCGTATTTACAAAAAAGCATTTCTAATGCGAATTGGATAATGCGCTTTAGCCAATTCGAATCAATTCGAATTAAAAAAAAAAGAGTGTGTGAACGCGATTAGCGAATTCGATTCGCATTCGATTCGAATTCAATTCGAATTAAATGTACGTGTGAACGAGGCATGAGTCTATAGGTCACATTCGAGGAAAAGAAGACGTGATTATGGTTACGACAATTGGAACATATTTGTCATCATCTGTGAAACAGATATTCCGTAACAACTCGCAATGGTGTACTTAAATTTTACGAAAGGGTGATTTCAACTTCTCCACTTGGAACTCTTGGTTTAATAGATTCCTTGTAAGCAGCAACCCTCTATCAAGGAAATAATGATAGGAAATGCAAGCTCTTGAATATCGTATAAACTAGGAGATACATACTCCATATGCAGGCGCTGCTGGAATGTTGTCACATAGAAATGAAAAGTTTACAATTGGGAAGCTGAAACTGCAAATGTCGCCATAGAATATATTTTAATTTAAAAATGAATGAACAAATGAAATGAATACAAATAACTAGATAAATAAATAAATAGACTGAATAACAATTATTAATAAATGAAAAAAAAAACCAACCTGTCGATTTTATTCCGAGGTTACTCCAATCTCTTCCGAATGGAAGACCAGAGACAGAAGCCAGAAAAGATAAAATTATAAGGTCCAAATACATATCCTTTTAACATATAGAAACCTTCCTCCGTTTATGTTATATCATTTTGCAGTGATTCACCGAGTAAAGTGTTCGTCTTTTTGTGCTATACTTTAAAGTATTTCCTTTTATCTTCTCATGTGAATCTCATGTGAATCTCATGTGAATCTCCACTTTTAATGTCCTTTTGTAATACGTAAATCCAATCGAAAATGTTAGTTGATTTTCACAAAGTTGTCGAGATAATTCTAATCGTGTTACTATAATGTTTTTTTTAAAGAAATTTTGGTAATTTTGTGAATTTAGATGTTCTTTTTCTTTTCAGAAAAGACAGATACATGGTGTCTAAATTAAAACAAACTAAAAATTTTATAGAGATTTAAAAACCACCAACCTCGGGCTATCGGTCGTTCGTTTCTATATTTTCACTTTTTATATGACTATTTACATACCAAGTTTGATAGCAATCAGTTTCACAGACGAATGACTGTTATATTGTTATGTTCCGTACCTGAATGTCCACCTACAGGTAGAGAGAGATTAAAGCAAATAGAACTGTAAAATTATGTTTTGTGACGTAATTAAGGTACTACATGTACATCTAGTCATAACAATATTTCTCACAGTACTGAAAAAGTACTGATGACAACACAGTACTGAAAAAGTACTGATGACAACACAGTACTGAAAAAAGTACTAATTAAAAGTGTACCGTAAATTGATAACTTACGACTACTTACATCAACATTTCATGGACTGTGGTGTACATAGTTGTCACATTGGCAATAATAACACATGTTTTTAATTTTTATACTTTTAAATTTAAAGTAATATTGTTGATTAAATTATGTTTTATAGACCTTTTGTTATTCTGCTTATCAAGAAAAAGGAGGAATTCGTTATTCAAAACCTCCTTTTTTACTAACTTTGATAATTGTAAGATAGCCTATACTTTATCTACAGAGAATGAGTTCATTTTTTGAGCGATCTTGCACCTTGTAGGAATATGCACTGCAGAATATAGCAAGTTATATAGAGAATATGTCGTTGCTGTAAAATGAATTACTGTATTACCTTATCTAAATAAATTTTGAAACTAAGAGCTATATTATTTTTACAAGCCAATAAAAAGTTTCAGTTAAAAGGCAACAATAACAACAGACCTTTTTAATAGATCAAATGGTATTTTAATGACTTCAGGCAGTGATAAAAAAAAAAGACTATATCGTATCAAATTTAAGAATCTTTCTCTCTGTATTTAATCTGCTGATAAAGTTAGCATGTCGTCTTGCATCCTAATTTCAGAGATTGTACTGTTTAGATCAATTCTAGCCTCTCTAAAAATCTGCCAGAAACTGCAAGAAAAACTGTTCTAGAACACTTTGGAACAGTTTTCCCGACAAACTTAGACCAGTTTCTAACAAGAACTACTGTAAACCAACTAAATTTCGCGAACGATTTGTTTTCGCGACTTTCGCGGGTAGAAAAATATCGCGAATATAAATCGTCGTGAATATGTAAAACTTGGATAACTACATCAAGTAAATTTGAGAATCGCGAAATTAAATCACCACGAAATGGTAAAGAAAGGGCTAAACGCGAAATAAAGTATCCGCGAAAATAAGTTGGTTTACAGTTACTGTATTTTACCATAAAACAGTTTTGGACAATTGAGGCCGTTTTTACCAGTACATGTATCTTTCTATAATTGATTGATTGATTGATTATTGGTTGCTTAACGTACAGTGGCAAATAGTTCATGCATGTTCATGCATGTTATAACAATAAATACAAAAGGTAGATTCTTAAATAGAAGCCGTCCGGGATGAAGGTCAGGAAAATTTGGACTGCCACTAGAAAATCAGGGTATATTAATTGGATAGGGACTGAAATTTTGCCTTGTAACGGGCCATCTACGGTCCATCGAAGTTACAAGGGTTCTGAAAGTGCAGAGAGTGTGGTACTCTTTCTACACGAGGCATCGGACTTAACGTCCCCATTCTGACCGGACGTGACTGCGTATTTGTACATCCCGCACAGCCGGTCGGAAGAAGTGATCATATTTCTATTCCCCAGTCAACCTTGGGTGTTCTATTATTGATGTGTAACTTTGATTTATTTCTTGTGTAATTTTACTTCTTTCACGTGGTTGCTAGGGTGCTTCTGCACTATGAAATGTATGTCCTCTATAGATGCACTAGAATGCGAGTTTTTCATAGACAGAGTAACATAAGGTTCGCTTTAATTAATATTTCATCGCATAAGTCACAAATGTGTGTAGACATATAAAGATATAAAAAATGTACAAATGCAAGCTTGAAACAAAGTGCATAACAGTGAACATGCAGTATTTGTTTTGGAGAAGACATTACTAAGTTGAAATATAAAAATAACGAGATGAGGTATGATTGCCAATGAGACAACGATCCACCAAAGTTAAAATAAAGTGGATGTAAGCAATTATAGGCAACCTTACGGCCTTCAACAATGAGAAAAACCCATACCGTATAGTCGGCTATAAAAGGCCCTGACATGAAAAATATGAAACAATTCAATTGAGAAAACTAACGGCCTAATTTATAACAAAACAATTTACGAAAACAAGATATGACAGACATGAACCAACGACAACCACTGAACTACAGGCTCCTGACTTGGGACAGGCACATAAAGAATGTGGCGGATTTAAACATGTTTGTGAGGAATCAACCCTCCCCATAACCTGGGACATTGGTGTAACAGCACAACATAAGAACAAACTTTCAAAATCAGTTGAAAAAGGCTTAACTCATCAGATCGATTCAAAGCAGGAAAACATCAAACATAAACACAGACCGGACGTGGCAGGGTATTTATCCATCCCTCATTCCTAACAACAAAAAGGACACTAAGTACAGATCTGAGAGTACTCGCAGTTACTGAAAACCTTGTTTCTGATACACTTGTCCTTTCGAACAATATAATATGTGTAAACTAACAAGCAGTATTTAAAAAATCATATACCCTCGCGAAATGAACTTCTTTACGATGAGACAAAATACTTTTTTTGATAAGATGAGAAAAAAAAACAAGCTTATTTATATAGGACTCAAATCGAGAATAACCATATATGACCATATGTTTGTATCCGTCACTAATGTGCATTGAAGTTCAGCGCTAAAACAAAAACCTGTCGAGTGAGACTCTTGTCATTTTTTAAAAGTCTTCAAAAATTTTCGCTCGTAAGCAGTAAAAACCAAATTTAACAAACATTGAAAAACTTTTACAAATGGTCCTGGTATGAAATAAATCTACTATAGACCCTACCTCTTTAAAAGAAAGACGAAAGATACTCAAGTGATATTCAAATTCATAAGTTGAAAACAAACTGACATTCCCATGGCAAAAAAAACCAAAACGACCAAAAAGACAAACAACAGTACACGAAACTTAACATAACAAACTAAAAACTGAACAACACGAATCCCACCAAAAACTGGGGATGATCTCAAGGGTTCCGGAAAGGTGGGCATATCCTGCTCCACATGTGGCACCCTTAGTTGCAACTAATGTAAATATCATGATATCATTCCACCATCTGGTGGAGCCATAAAAATCTATAAACGCAACAGTAGTTTACCGATGTTCGTCTGCAAAAGAGTTCCCTTCTTCTTATCAAATTAGCAAGAAGTACGTTTGAAAATGTGGGAGAAATTATCTATTTGGCATTTTTTAATTTTTCTCTGATAATTTTTATGAGTTTCTTTACATGTTTAACTACCAGAGCCTTTCCTAGACAAAATGTTAATCATTGCAATTCAAAGATTAAGTTGTTTTCTCTAAATTAAAATTGGTTAATATTTTTTTAATCTCAGGGGAAGTAACTCTTTTGTAAAGATTTTTGACATCGGAACTCTAAACGCACGATATAATCTTTCAACATAAGTATTGTTAACATGCTTTATGGAGCAAATAGGATACTGCGAGTTCGCTTACGTCGAGAATCATTTAATTGTGATTTTACTCGGGGTTTTTCCTGTTGTTGTTTTTTTTTTTAATTTCTAGCATAAAAAAAAGATACGAAAAGATTATATAAAACAATAAACCAAAGAAAAAGTCAACTTTATAATTGGTTGATTTTCATGATTATATTATGCACGGATACTTAAACAATTTCTTTAAAAACAAATTAGTATCAGAACCAACCTATCACGTGTTCCTTTTGTTATTGTCAGTCTTTTTAAAATATCCAACTGACAAATATTGACTATCAAATCTAAATTCTCAAAAATCTGCACAAATATTTTAATCTATATATATCTAATTTACCATATTTGTTTTAAATATATTCCACCTTATAATGGAAACTGCAAACATATATCCGGGCGCACCAATTTTATAAAGTATTGTTAACAATTTACATGCTTCAAATCATACAATAAAAAAACATACCTGAAAATGTGTGAGAAATAACGTTTTTGGCATCTTTTATTTTCCTGTTACAATTTTACAGTTTTTTTGTTTGTTGTATGTGCGACCAGAAGAGCTTTTTTGAGGTAAAAGAATTATTTGTTGTAACTCAAAGTTAAAGTAGTTTTCTATAAGTGTACATCGGTCAAATTTAATTAATATCATGGGAAGTAACTCTTACATGAAATAGTATGATACAACAATCTATATGTTTTAAGAAATCTTTCTAACTTTACTTTTTACATAACTATTTGCTGCTTTTGTTAAAAAGACATTGGATCCACATTTTTTCGAGTGTCCTCAGTTATATAAATATACAATTTGACGTTTGGTTTTTTTTTTTCGATCTTGTATGCAAAATTTTAAAAAATGTTTACAAACACTTGTATTTATTTATATCTTATTTTCAACTGGTTTGTTTTAACAATATTCCACCTCATAGTGGATCCATAAAAATGTTCGGACGCATAAAATTTATGAAGTAGACTTATGAATTTCCATGCTTCAATTCATGCAATAAAAAACACGTCTGAAACATGTGGGTGAAATCACATTTTTGCATCTCTATTTTTCCTGTTACAATTTTAAAGTTTTTTGTTTATTGAGCGACCAACAGAGCCCTTTTTAGGCAAATACATTAATCATTGCAACTCAAAGTTAAAGTAATTTCCTTTGAATGAACAAATATCAAATATAATTTATTTTAGGGGAAATAACTCTTGCATGAAGAAGTTTAAACCAGCTATCTCAATGTACTATCACGGCTTTGAGGACGTTATGAGAACAAGTCATCGAAGTCCAAATGTGTGAGGAGAATTTATTGATCAGCGAATGTACAATATGACAGTAGAACTAATCAAGCTAGCTTTCGTTAGAACAACCAAGTGTGAAAAATATATACACACGATAAACAGATTATCGGATTTTCTGTATATAGATATCGTTAAATATCAGATGTCCGGCACACTGTA